ATATATGTATTTTGAAATGGGTTTCAATTTTTTTTAGCACATGACCCATTTTATATTTGAGATGAGACTGAGTAATACAACATAAAACCCGAGAAAAACATAAAAGATAGTATATACTACCATATGATATACCACATGTACACATATGTTCTACAATCAGAGGCGGATCTATACACAACAAAGGGGTGGCAAGTGCCACATGTTAAAATATAAAATCCATAATTTGTTAGTTGTGAACAGTAGTAAAAATAGCTCAGTTGCTTACGTTGGTCACCGCCTGACACCTCTTTCACGGGTTCAACTCTCCTCTTGCACTTATTTTCTCTTTTTAATTTTAGTTAAATTCTGTATTGTTTTAGGCCCAGCTAAACTATGACCCAACTAAAACTATTTTTTTTATTTTTAAAGTACTATTATGCTTCTATTATTTGAATGTTATATTTGAATATATTTAATTTAGTGATGATTATAAATCAAAAATCAATATTGATGTAAATGTCTATATCATAATTAGTTTTGAATCATGTCATCATTTTTACTAAGCCATGTCATCTTCTTTTTGTGGAAATGAATGTGATGATGATACATAATCAAATTTTGAAAAATAACTTTTCAAATAATATCTATGATAATTTTAAATATATCTCAATTCTTCTATTTAAGAAAAAAGGGATAAGAATTAGAGGAAAAAACAAGTAGTTAACAATATTCTTGACGACAAAATTATTGCACGTTTTTGAAATCGAACACTAGAACTCAAACAAAACTCTTTATTGTCTTAGAAACTCACACAAAACTAAAGTTCTTTCTCAAATCTTTCTTAAGTTGTATCACAACTCGATACCTCCTTATATAACATCTATAACTTCATAAACTTATTAGAAATTATATAATTAACTTTTCCTAAACTCATTAGGTAACACATCTTTTCCTTTTCTCTATTCCTAAACTCATTAGGACAATATCAAATTAACTTCAAGCTTAAGCAACATACGAGTCTTCTAAAAGTATTCTGATACGAATGATGACTTGAAAAGTGATTCCTAATATGCATTTTTGTCACTTTTCTAGTTTTCTCAGAGAGTCATACAGGGTGGATTGTAACTTTCGTCAATAACTTTGTGCATGCTTTCTTGATACCATATGTTAAGTCCATCGTTTAGTTTGATGCCACATGCATGCTCCCTCTTGAACTACCTTATTGTTCTCAAATGTCATTATATGATACATGACGTGTATTATCGAAGTAGTTTTTGATGATGTTGGATGCTCAAACAACTACTATATATCGATTGATCATTCTCCTCTTTGTTAGCAACGAAACTTCATCAGTCCAAAAAAACAACAAGTCCTCTTACATATATAACCTTTCTGTGAATTCGACAAAATCAAGTTTTCAAAACTCATTCTTTCATGTTATGCTTGACAATATTAGACCTAACTTCTCAGTGACAACCACTTCGCTAGATGGAATCAAGAAGTCAAAATGTGCTGGTTTCTTTTGAAACGATCCAACTAAATCGTGAGAAAACTCTTTTTTTCCAGCGCCATACGAATCTTGATCCTAAAACTTTATGGAATCAAATGCTGAAATAGACCACATAGCCTCCAAAAAATCTCAATTAGACCCATCCCTTTTTTATTTTATTTTACAATTAAATTTAAATAAAAATTTTAGTGAAATAACTAAAAAAGCCTAAAGACTTAAACTTATTTACTAACCTATGCCACTACTATCCTACCCAATATTTAACCCAGATCCAGATTCAAAAACCCACTCAATCTCTTTCTTCTTCCTTTTTTTCTTCTCTTTCAAAGTTTTTTACCATGAAACAAAATCAAAAAAATTCTTCAACCATCCACTAATTTTCTTTTTCTTATCTCAAATCGATCAGCCCATGATCATATTTACTCAATTCTATCTTATCCAAAATAAAATTTCATATTTTACATACGAAATTCAAAATAACGAAGAACGCAAAGTATTATTAGTACAACTAGTACAACTCAAATTAATACAACTAATATAACTCACTCTAGTAAAACTAGTATAACTTGTACAACTTGAATTAGTACAACTAGAATAACTAAAATGAGTATAACTAGTATAAATAGATTAAGTATCCCTATACATTATTTGAGAAGTATTTTTCTTACGTGTCATCACCGTATTCATTCCCCAAAAAAAAAGATTACATGACTTTGAAAAATTATGAAATGACATCATTTAATTATGAGATGTAGAATTGCTTTTATTTATTGTTTTCAGCATATGAAGATGCTAAAAAGAGAATGATGTAGAACCAATAAAACATAGTGGTCTAATCTCCCCAGCCTGCATGTGTCAAATATATGAATAGTATATTTTTAATTATATTTTTTTGAAATTGATATGTTTACAAGTTGTATTAGTTATACTAGTTACACGATTTTTGAAAAACAATTATATTCATATTTTTGGTCTCGAGGGCAAAAAACAAGATGAAACCAGAAAATTCTTTAACTATTGGTCTAAAGACGTGAGTCATCAGAAAAAAAGAAAAATATTTTTAATAACATTTTTTTTGAAATTGATATGTTTACAAGTTGTTCTAGTTATATTAGTTGTACGATTTTCGAAAAAACGAGAGTCACGAAAAAAATATTGCGTTGATGCAAATAATTTATATTTTACATCAATTATTAAATGAGTTGATGTAATTATTTGCATCACCACTTTCAAAATCACTTCTAAGTGATGTAAAAAAAATTAATCATTTATAAATAATACAAAAATTGAAAATAAATGGTGTAAACTATATTTTTTGTAGTGTGGTGATATTTGGTTTTGGTTTACGACGTATTAATGATGCTATAGAAGATGATGATGATGCAAAACCAACGAAAATGTTAGTATAATCAAATAAGAGTACAACTACAACGAGTATAACTAGTACACTAATAAAACTCGAATTAGTACAACTAATACAACTCGAATTAGTACAACTACATTTATTTTGTTTTCAGCGTATGAAGATTGTAGAGAAGAGTATGATGTAGAACCGTTAGACATGTTGGTCTAATCTTCTTTCTCATGCGTATGTCAAATACATGAATTCTATATTTTTAATAATATTTTATTTAGATAATGATATGTTTACAAATTGTACTAGTTATAGTAATTATACTATTTTCAGAAAAAATCACCTTCATCTTTTTGCTTTCAAAGCCGAAAAATTTGATGCGGAATCAGAAAATTCTTCAAAAGTGTGAGCCACCGGAAAGAAGAATAAGAAGGGAGCATCAGTGACAACTAAGGTCTCCTTTCGCTTCAAATATATAGCTTTTGGGGCTACTTTTGAAAACTTATGTTCTTTATATAATTTATGTTCTTTTTGATATTAAAACTTATGTTTCTTGTGATGTTAAACTTGTTTTTATAGCTTTTGAAACTATCAAAACTTATGTTCCTTTTGCAAATTATATCTCTTATGCAAAAATTACGTTTAGTGTAAATATACATGTATTTTGGTATAACTAGTACAACATATTCAACTAAGCAATAATATTTAAGAATGGCACAAATAGTACAACTACTTGGCATTAGTGTTCAACCAAAATTGTTAAAACATGATACACATTTAAAACATGATCCACATTTAAAACAGTTTTAAATAAAATAACAAACAATTGTACCAGTTTTTTAGTTGTACCTGAATGTACATAGTTGTACTAGTTTTTGAGTTGTACCTATTTGTGCATAGTTGTACTTTGGCAGTGAAATCAAAAATATTAGTTGTACCACATAATAAGTGCACTTACCTCAGTTTTACCACATAATAAATGCACTTACCTCAGTTTTACCACTTATTTATGTTTACATATCTTTGCCCAGTTACGATGAAATCATTAATTTTGTAAAAGTACATTTCATGTATGTTTTCTAAAAGTTAGGTGGACAAACAATTTAACAAACCATAAAATTATAAGTTGAATTATCTAAACTTATGGAGTTTTGTAATAATTAAAAAAAATGTATATACAAAACTTCAAACTAGATTAAAGAAAATCTATGAGTACATAAAAATTAGTATATTTGATTGTTTTCTCATATGGAATACCAAACTGATTTTGTCAATTCTGAAATGTCAAAGTTATACTAGTTGTACCAGTAATACTCATCTAATATATTTTTAAAAATATATCTATTGTTTATATGTCTAGTTTTTTGAGTTGTACTAATACTTTTACAACATGGTTTTGTAAGAATATGTCTAATGTTTGTTTTCATAATCATACGGCTAATGTAGTTAATAAACCTTAAGTATAAAGTATATAATGTAAACTAAGAATGTAATCTAATACTTTTTAAAAAAAAAAAATGAAAATTTTTAGATAAAATAGATGAAAAGTTGTCATTATATACCAATTAGTATATTTACTTGTATATTTTATGTGTAAATTATAATATTTATATACTAGTTATGCAATTTTTAATATGTTTAGTTGTACGAGTTATACTAGTTGTACCTCGTCGAATGAAAGAATGTGATAAAGAAAATTGTGTGGATGTGAATGGTTGAAATTTAAAAAAGCTAAAGATAGTTAAGAAGTGAGAATAAAATATACGTAAAATCGTACGGCCAAGAATAAAACATAAATGTGATGATCTAAGGGCTCATACAATCCCTTCATTAATGTAAGATAGTAAATTTACCTTATTTGGTCCATGTAGATTTTTTTTTGATGCTATAGATTATTTTTTGATCATTTGGTCTATTTCAGAATTTGATCCAACTTTATGTTAGTAATATCATCACATTTTCGTTATAAATTAAAGAAAAAAGAAGTAAATAAAAAATTAATCCACATTAATTGGGGCGGGGGGCAAATAGTTTCAAATTCAAATATTTGGACCAGTGTTGAAATAATCAATATTTTGGGGGGTAATTCAGGAAAGTGGAAGAATGCTTGCAAGATTTGTTTCTTCTTCGTCTTCTTCCTCACATTCTCGTTAACATCGCGCGACACCTTACCCATCTCCGGACGGCGAACATCTTCAAATCCTCAACGGCCGAAACCCATTTCTCAAAATCCAAAAGTTTCACACTTTCGATTTTGATTTGGTGGTGGAACGATGGACGATTACACTAGAGAGATGATGGATCTCAAGACCTTAGTCACTCGAACCCTCGAGAAGAAGGGTGTTCTCGCTAAGATCCGGGTAACTACAGAGATAATAGATCTCAAAGTTTCAACCTTTTAGCTTAGATAGAAGAAAAAAACCCAATTATACATTTTAGGGTTTCTGGGTTCAGATCCTTGGTTAGGGGTTTGAATGTTGCTGATGTTGTTTATGTATTATGCATATAGATTCCCTGATAAGTTCATGTTGATTCCAAGTTTCGTTCTTTACAGATAATTAGGTCTGTAATGTTGAGAAGAGCTGATATAGTTTTGTTGCTATGGCAGGCTGAGCTACGAGCGAGTGTGTTTGAGGCAATTGAAGAAGAGGATCGAGTGATTGAGAACAACGAAGGGCTGCCTCCAGCTTTGTTGGGAAGCTGTAATGATCGTGCAAGGCAGCTTCATGCTCTTCCCTCAGGTATTTGGCTTATATCTCTGCTCGGATCTGTTCTGTGTGGTTTTCATACTGTTAGGCTTCTGTGTCATCTTTGCATCACATCTCACTGTTCTGTGTAACTTATGACTTGATTTAGAACAGTCTGTCTAGGTTTGCAATTTGAGTTTGACTCAAATGAACATAGAGGTTTTGGAGTTGAGTAGTTCCTCACTTTGAAGTGTTGGATGAAATGCAGGTAGGTTATTATGTGCGTTAGTTTGTGAGTACTTGGAGTGGGCGCAACTCGATCACACGCTCAAAGTGTATCAACCCGAATGTAATTTGGTAATCAAGTAATCACTTCTCTTGTTTTATTTGTTTGTATAGTTCAGTAGATTGTAGATAAAGTTTAAAACCTTGCTTCTTACTGATCTGCATTGTGCCTGAATAACCTATGCACAGCAAAAGGACTCGTGGAAGTCTGAATTAAACGACTTTAGCAGCAACCATGGTTATGAGCTCAACAGAAATGGAGATAGCGCACCGCTTCTTCTTGATGTTCTTGAAGGATTCTTGAAGTTCGAGGTATCCTTATCCTTTATGTGAACATATGTTTATTAGAAAAAATGGAAACTCAAGAACTCAAAATAGAAATCTAGTATTCTTTACTTTATCATATGTCTTGCTTTGTTCTTCTTAGGTTTAGTGATCAACATTATTGTTTTTTTGTTTACAGAGCATGACACAGACCATGGGTGGTAACTCAAGGAGAGAGTCAGAAAGTGAGTCTTCATCAAGCCTTGACTCTAGGAATCCTCCTCGCAGATCATCTGCTTCTGACAACTTACCTCCTCTACGAAGGTACACATATCTCCCCAACACCATTTTATGCCAAATAAAAGATCTTTATATATTTTTCCTGTTGCATATCTGAGTCGGTCTTGCTTGGTTGTTTGGTGTTTGATTAATAAGCAGGACGGGTTCTGGATCCCAAGGATCAGGTGAGTCATCATTCCCCTACATTCTTGAATTACTAATATGGTATGTTACTTGATGTCTTATACCAAATGATTTCGATATGGTTTTTCAGATAGAAGAGGTGGGACTAATTACAGAAAAGATGAAATCAATTGGAGACACGGTAATCAAGATGCGCATGAAGAGGTGATGAGAGCTTCAGCGGCGCTTGAAAATCTTCAGCTTGATAGGAAAACTCGGAACATGACATCCTCTTGGAGGTAAATCTTTTGAATGCTTTTATCATTAGTTTGAAATGGAAAAAAAAAGGAAAAGGTTGATAGTGTTGTTTGTGTTTGTAGGAATGTTAGGGATGGAGCAAATGAAGATGAAGGGAGGGATTGATTTATCATTGATAATAAAATGATAATAAAATGCAGCTTCTGAAAGTGAGTGTTGGTTTGTGTACGTGATATGTATGTATGTTCTTTATTTGCAAAACAGTGTGTTTCGTGGGAACCCCTGTCTCTTTAAGGTTATTCATGACATCATACTAAACGGTTAATGTTTTTTTCTTGAGCTGGTTTGGTAAGAGAGGAAACTCACAAAGAATGAGTTGCATAGTGTAGTTGCAATGTTATTCACTTTCTTCTATTGTGTTTGGTTATCATCACTGCCTTGAGTATTCAAGTGATCCCTCTTCAAAGTGAAGCAGTTTGGTAGTTTTATTGAGATCTAACTTTCACGAGTTAGAGCATCTCCAACCCTACTCCAAAACCCACTCCAAACTCCATTTTGCAGTAAAATCTTCTCCAACCCTACTCCAAAACTCACTCCAAAATGGAGTAACAAACATGATTACTCCAAATATGGAGTAAACCAACTCATTACTCCAAAATGGAGTTGAACTTTTTTATTTATCAAATAGTGCTCCACATTTATATATGTTTCATTTTTAATAAAATATTATTATAAATAAGTACTATATATCTTATAAAATTTACTGTTATATTTCTTAATTATATAAATAGCCTCATTTTTAATAAAATATTATTATAGATAAGTATATTAATATTATTTTACTATATATTAGAAAATTTACTGTTAATATTTCTTAATTATATAAATAGCCTTGTCTTTAATAATTATATTATTATAAATAAGTATATTAATATTATTTTACTATATATATTTTAAAATTTACTGTTAATATTTTTTAATTATATAAATAACCATCTGATGAACTCTTTTATACAACATAATATATATAATATAAAACATAAAAGATCATACATATAGAAAATGAAAGATAAGCACCATACAAAAGAAATAACATAAAATAAAACNTACATAACATGATAATAGAAGATGATTGTGATCTCGAGGTGCCAATTGAAGTTGAAAGAAAAGTCATGTCAAGGAAAATTGAAATTGAAGAAAATAATAATGTGAGGTTCCAAAAGTTTCTTTCCCATTTCAGAGAAATCAAAGATAAAGAAGCTCATTTTTTATTTCGAAATGCATTAGTTGATCATTTGTGGGAAAACTATTATAATTCTAATGAATAATTTAGAATTGATGTATTATTGTGTTTAAGCTATATAATGTAATTTTTAATGTATTAAATGTATTCTTTTAAAATTTTGTTGAGTAGTTTTATTTATATAATAAAAATTTAATTGTGGTTAATATTGTATTTAATAGAAATGCTATAAATTTAAAATGGACTATTTTGCAAATAGTATAAATGAAAGGTGGTATTCCTAATTTTGAAATAAATATAATATTAAAAATATTCTTTTGGAGTAGAAAATGGAGTAATACATTGGAGTAAAACTCAACTGCATTTTGGAGTTACTCCATTTTAGAGTAGAAAATGGAGTAATACATTGGAGATGCTCTTATGCGTCATCATCATCGTCATCTAAGTTTGGTGGTCAAAACTCAAAGAAAATAAGAACTTGGTGGTGGATCCAACTATACTTGAATCATATCATGTCATAACTTTTTTCTTTACTGTCAACAGTTTATGTTATAGGCATTAAAAAAACCTTTTTGGTAAATGTTCTTCCTTTTTTTTTGTGGGCAAAATGTATGTTTGTTCTTCCATGTTCATATTTTTTTTTCAGGTGGTAATTGTGTAAAACAACAAAAAAAAAAGACAAGTAATGGGTGGCGTTATTAGGGTTTTAAAACCTTAAATATTTTTAATTTACTTTTGGCTTTCTTCTCTGTCGTTCAGACACAAACGCTCAGCCCAGTCCCCTTCCCTGCATCGCCTTAGTCTCTTTTACTCTACTCGTGTTGAATTGTGTAAGCCATGGAAGCTCGGATTTTGCAGTCCTCTTCTTCTTCTTCTTCTTGCTACTTCTCCTCCCGTTCCATCAACCGATATCGTTTCTCCTCCGTGTCACCATATCCGAAGCCTCTCTCCGTCAGTTTCCCTCATAAGACGAGAACAACAACAAATGTTTTATCAATGTCGAAGAAAGATGACAACACCGAGAGTCTCAGTTACAAAGGCTCAGGTGTGGATATCGATGCTGGAACTGAGCTCGTTAGAAGAATCGCTAAGATGGCTCCTGGAATCGGCGGCTTCGGTGGTCTCTTCCCATTAGGTACAACTAAGCACTAATGCTAAAGTTTCACCTTTGAGAATGTTTAAAGTTTTGATTTTTATGATTTGGGTTTGTTTGGGAGGAGCAGGTGATTCTTTTCTTGTAGCTGGTACGGATGGTGTAGGGACTAAGCTTAAGTTGGCCTTTGAAACTGGGATCCATCATACCATTGGAATAGACTTGGTAACACAAATCAATAAGCCGCCTTGTGTGTGTGTTGGAGACACTCATTGTTTTGGTTCCTTTGTTGCAGGTTGCTATGAGTGTGAATGATATTGTTACTTCTGGTGCGAAGCCTCTCTTCTTCCTAGATTACTTTGCTACTAGTCGTCTTGATGTAGACCTTGCAGAGAAGGTATGATTGCTTCCTCTTTTGCTTCTAGGACATGCTATATTCATGAAGAGTCTCTATGCTACTCTTTCCAGGTTATTAAAGGGATTGTTGATGGCTGTGGGCAATCAGACTGTGCTCTCTTAGGTGGAGAGGTATGTTTTTTGCTTTTGGCAATGTAGTTTATGCATGCCTTGGTTTGATTGGTCTTTGTTTGGCTGTTTTAGACTGCGGAGATGCCAGACTTTTACGCAGAGGGAGAGTATGATCTCAGTGGGTTTGCAGTTGGGATTGTGAAGAAAGACTCTGTTATAAACGGGAAGAACATAGTCGCTAGAGATGTCCTTATTGGCCTCCCATCTAGTGGAGTTCACTCCAATGGCTTCTCTTTAGTAAGAAAGTAAGTTCATTAGTGGATAATATGAGATTATATTCAATGACGTCAAACTAAAAGATCACAATTGTTTTCAGGGTTGTGGCTCGAAGCGGTCTTTCGCTGAAAGATGAGCTTCCAGGTGGATCAACTACACTTGGTGAAGCTTTAATGGCACCCACTACCATTTATGTGAAGCAGGTTGAGGGTTTTTTTCTTTGTCAACAAAAAGTTGAGATTACATGTGTTACCAACGCTTTCTCTTTCTATATATATCCACAGGTACTTGACATAATCAGCAGAGGAGGAGTGAAAGGGATAGCTCATATAACAGGTGGAGGTTTCACAGACAACATCCCCCGTGTCTTCCCTGACGGTTTAGGTGCTGTGATCAACACTGGTGCTTGGGAACTTCCACCATTGTTCAAATGGATCCAACAGGTAATGAGAAAACATGTATCAATCAAGATAACTCTTACCAATGTATGTGCTTGAAATGTTTTGATTGTTGGTGTGTTATTGAAGTCTGGGAGAATAGAAGATAGTGAGATGAGAAGGACGTTTAACCTGGGGATAGGGATGGTTCTGGTGGTTAGTCCAGAGGCGGCTACGAGGATACTTGGAGAAGCCAAGAATGGAGATTATGTTGCTTATCGTATTGGAGAGGTTATAAATGGTGAAGGTGTAACATATCATTAGATCCATGTTTGTGGTTTTTACCAACAATCATTCTGTTCTAAATACACCTTGCAAATGCAAGTTTTGTGTGAGAGAATAAGACCACTTTGTTTCACAAGTTTTAATCCATTTGTCTGGAAGCTGTTGCACTCACATGCTTTTTTTTGAGGTTTGAAAACCAGGATACTGTGTTATTAAAAAAAAAAAAAAAAAAAAAGGAAGAAAACCAGAATACTACTGAATCGTTTGCACATCAATGTACTACACACCATACATGTCTTGTATCTTAATATCTCACCTTCTCAATATTCATTATCTTTACATGCTTAGCAAACCAACTAACAAATATGCTAAAAAATATATTCAAACTTAGGTTTAAAAGTTTAGTCTGCAGAAATACTAACATGAGACCTTCTAAGAGCATATTTTCTTGGGTATGGAATAACATATATTTAAAATAAAGTAGGATTGGAGATGCACGTCAAAATTTTAAGAGTAGAAAATGAAGTAAGATTAGAGATACTAGGATAGTAGGAAGTGTCTTGGATTGTACAATCTTTTCCTTTTGCTGATGCCTTCTCCTCATTAACATGCTCTATAGCATTTTAGGGTGTTGAGTTCTGCAAACGCAGGCAAATGCTTTAAATTACCTGCAAGACTTGCGCTTCTGCTGCATCTTACTCAGTAAAGCTTCGTGCATCTTCTGATATTGCTTTATCCACGTCTCAACACCTTCATTAAGTATCAAATACTCTCAGCATTTTCAGCTTATATAAAGAAAAACTTGTCATCCAAACATGCCTGAGACTTTGGTGTTATAAATAATTTTTATGTTTTTTTTTTTGAAATAAGAACATATATATATGTAAATTATTTCTTAACTACTAAGAGAAACTTGAAGTGCTATTTGCTTTAACAAAATCATCAATCAACTTCAACTTACAGCGCACGTTACGGTCCTCCTTGGCGCACATTAGCATCCCTCCTTGCTTCATTATTGTTGGCCGTTGTGCGTTCTTTGAAAGGCTTCAACCAAACATGTCTGAGACTTTTGGAGTTGTAAATAGTTTTTATGTAATTTTTTTTTTTTGAAATAAGAACATATATATGTAAATTATTTCTTAACTAAGAGAAACTTGAAGTGCTATTTGCTTTAACAATCATCGAACAACTTGAACTTACGGCGCACGTTACGGTCCTCCTTGGCGCACATTAGCATCCCTCCTTGCTTCATTATTGTTGGCCGTTGTGCGTTCTTTGAAAGGCTTCAGGGTTCCTGATTCCCTTGAGAGGAGGTGTCGCCACATCACATCTATCTTCGAATTCACAGATCACGCATCGTGGCGGCGGATATGCCTGAAGAAGACACCGTAACGGTGGATCAGAACAGTTATAATGCTTCTTTGCCATTGCCACATCTATCTTCAAAAGTCCTTACATTGCCCACCGTCTTAACCCTTGCCCGTGTAGCCGCCGTTCCAATCCTCGTCGCGAGTACGTTTAAATCATCAGATCTAAACGAATGAAAGTCTCAAACCATCGATTACCAATCTGAATTGGATCTTCTTCATCTTGGTTCTGTTTTTGTAGCTTTCTACGTTGATTGCTGGTGGGGGAGA